TGACCTCTTTGATTCATGCTTTCCTTTCACCTTCTTTCTGATGGGAATGAAGGGCCATCAATGCAAAAAATGCTCTCTAGCCACCCAAGCAAAGTACACAGAAATTGGAGTAGCAGGAAAGCATTGCTTTTCCCATGTGGAACCCTCCAGCCACCCATCCTCAATTCCACTTTCTGAAAAACACAGCTCAGATTCTGCACTGCAGGGACTTTAGATCTTTCTCCTTAATCTGGCACCCATGGCTCCTGCTGCCTCAGACTGCTCCCAACCAAGCTCATCTCATCTGAGAGTCTCCCCAACAATTCTAACAAACTCAACAGTCCAGCCACCTAAGCTAATGATTGCTTCTCTGCAATTTTTCTTGGACTGTTCTTGAATTTGGGAATTCTCTTTTCTTCATCTATGGAGGTCAAATGCCACCCCTTTTTTGGTGTTTTGCTTAAGACCACGTCTTTTATGAAGCCCTGCTTGGTGTCTCAGGCCAAAGACGCCTTTTTTTCCTCTAACATTCTGGGAGCTTCGGCCCCATCTGCTTATCAAGGTTAACATGCCTCCTTCATTTTTTTGTAGAGTAGATTTTAGAGATGATTGTGTAAAGGACACAGTTATGGTGCCTGGATCACTCAAACATGGAACCTACTATTACAATTATCGCTCCTATACTTAATTATATAAAAATCTTATTACCCTGAAAGTGGGAAGGTAGGGGTTATGCCTGATCTTTTTTTTAAATCTTTTTCTTTTAAAGTATAGCTGATAGACAATCTTATATTGGCTTCAAGTATATAGACACAATGGTTCAGTTATACAGATTATTAAATCCTCACTCCCACTAGTGCATTTACTATCTGTCAACCTAGGGAGATGTTTCAGAATCATTGGCTATATTCTCCATGCTGTACTACCATCCCTGTGACCAACTTATATTCTGATTGAGAATATTTGTGCCCCTTTATCCTTCTCACCCTCCCCACCCACCCACCCCAATTCCATCCCCTTGGTAACCACCAGTCACTTCTCAGTGTCTATAAATCTACTGCTATTTTTTTCATTTTGTTTTGTTTTTTTTTTTAGATTCCACAAGTGAAATCATATGGTGTTTGTCTTTCTCTACCTGGTTTATTTCACTTAGCATAATACCCTCTGGGTCCATCCATGTTGTTGCAAATGGCAGAATTTCTTTTTTTATGGCTGAATAATATTCCATGGTATGTATGTACCACTTCTTCTTTATCCATTTATCTGCTGATGGATGCTTTGGTTGCTTCCATATCTTGGCTATTGCAAATAATGCAGCAGTAAACATAGGGGTGCATATATCTATTCAAATCAGGGATTTTGTTTTCTTGGGGTAAATTCCAGGAAGTGGAATTACTTTGTCATATGGTATTTCTATTTTTAGTTTTTTTTGAGGAACCTCCATTACTTTCCACAGTGGCTGTACCAATTTACATTTCTACCAACAGTGTAGGAGGGTTCCCATTTCTTCATAGCCTTGCCAACATTTGTTATTTATTGTCTTTTGGATGGTGGCCATTCTGACTGGTGTGAGGTGATATCACATTGTGATTCTGATTTACATTTCCCTGATGATTAGCAATGTGAAGCATATTTTCTTGTGCCTGTTGGCTATTTGTATTTTTTTTTTTTTTGAGAAATGTCTATTTAGGTCCTCTGCCCATTTTCTAATTGTGTTATTTGATTTTTTTGGCATTGAGACATATGAGTTCTGTATATATTTTGGGTGTTAACCCCTTATCAGATGAATCATTTATGAATATATTCTCCCACACTGTAGGTTGCCTTTTTGTTCTGCTGATGGTATTCTTTGTTGTACAGAAGTTTTTAGTTTGATGTAGTCGCATTGTTTATTTTTGCTTTGCTTCCCTTGTTCAGGAGATGTGTCCAGAAAAAAATCTCATGCTTGCATTCAAGAGATTTTTACCTATGTTTTCTTCTAAGAGTTTTATGGTTTCATGTTTTATATTCAGGTCTTTAATCCATTTTGAGTTTACTTTTGTATCTGGAGTTAGACAGTAATCTAGTTTCATTCTCTTGCAGGTAGCTGTGCCTGACTAATGTTGCACATGTAAGCATTTAAGAAAAGTTTGATGCACAAATGACCATACAAATTAGTTAGCCAGTCAAATCCTAATTCATTCCTGAAATAACATAAGGGGCAAATGACTTTTTATGGTTTTTGTGATTATGATTCTGAAGCATAACCCAGGAAATACATTAATTGTTTTTCCCCCTGAAAATGAAGCCAATACATAATTGTTTAGAAAATTCAAGCAATACAGAACAGTTTAAAGAAGATAGTGTAATTTAACCTAATCTCACTGATCAGAAGCCACCAGT